ATGATAATTATAAAAAAAATATATATATAAAAAAAAAAAAATCTGTTTGATTACGATATGGAAGAACGATGTAAGAATCACACGGCAGAGGAATATACAGTGATCATTGGTTACAGCTAACGGTGGGCAGTGCTGAGGGTGGTCTACCATGGTCGCCAGACCACCAGACGCTGCTTCACCAGCTCCGCCAGCTGGCGCTGCCGCTGACGCTTGCGCTCAAAGATTTGATGGCGGATCTTCAGCAGGATGCTGACGCGTGGTGCTGCCGAGCCGGCGGCTCTGTTGCTCTGTGGCGGCCAGGATGAGGGCGAGGACGATGGCGAGGACGAGGGCGTGGGCGAGGTCGAGGGCGTCGCATCGCTGCATGTGCTCAACTGTTCCATCAGCAGATCCATGTCGTGCGTGCCAGCCACTGAGTGTGGAGCAGGCTCACAAGGATGAGCACTCATTCGATTGCATGGATCCTGCTGGAGCTTGAGGCGCTGGCGCTAATGATAGCAAGAGATAGAGAGAGAGCGAGGAAGAGAGAGAGAGAGAGAGAGAGATATGTGATTAGCTAATGACATCAATTGGACCAGACTGTTGACTCACCTTTTTGCGCGCCGCATTCTCGGCGAGAAATCGACAGAGCTGCTGCAGCTGCTGCTCGGCCAGGGATTCATCGTGCTCCTGCTGTGTGCGCTGCTCCAGGCGGAGCAGTTGGCGCTGCCTAATGGCCGCCTGCACCTTGCACTTGGTCGACGTGTTCAGCTCCAAGCTGAGGCTGCGCCGCTGCTGCTGGTGCTGCTGGTGCTGCTCGTGTTGCTCCGGTTGCTGCTGATCAAGCATCTCCTGCTGCTGCAGCTGGCGCTGTTGCTTTAGTATTTTGTATATGACGCCCATGCTCTCGATGATATCAGCTATCCGTGGTTCACTCGCACCGAGCTGCTGGCAAAGACTGTCCAAATTTGTAGCCGTTCTTCGCTTCTTATATGAGCAGCGGCTCGGCTACTCCTACGAGCCGTCGTGAGAGGGGAGAGCGGGAGAACGACGGGTGTGAGAACCGTTGCTGGGTTTTTTGGAAAATGCATACCAAAAAAAGAATTACAAATAAAAATAAAACATAACTCACTCACTGTGCGCGCGTGTGTGTGTGTGTGTGTGTGTGCGCGCCAAACTTCAACTTGCCATATGAGCCATTGCCTCAAGTGGAGTACTATTTTCTTCTCATTACAATGCCTTTGGCAACAACACATGTGGCGAGCCGAGCATAGCTAATAATAGCCCACTGCATGTGCAGAACGATAGAGAGAGAAAGAGAGGGAGTGTGAGTGCGAGAGTGAGAGTGGCAGCAGGAGCGGGAGAGAGCCACGCACATACATACATACATACCATACATATAACACTTTCGCTGCATTGCAATGCATTGTCAGCGTATGCAGTCCCGTTAATGTTCTCGTCCCTATCTTTGGCGCCCATTCCAAGTGTCGACTTGCGCTGCTGAGCCCGCCTTTTCTGACATACATACATATGTATATGTATACACTTTCACACCAGAGAAGTACCACGACTTTGTGATTCACTCGAACAGTTTTAAAATCATCCTGACAGCGACTAAACACTCTTTTTATTTTAAAAGGGCATATCATGTAGGCCAGATGGCTAAGCCAAGCTTTTATGTTGCAAAAATTTCTTAATTTTAGAGTATAAGAGTATTGTTATTAGAGAGTATAGAGTGATCTAGAGTATAATTTTGGTTAATTACAAATAAATTTATATTCGTATATTTTAATTCTAGTTTTTTAATATTTATTATTCTTATATATACATATGTAGATATATGCACATAAATATATGTACATGTGTTCACAAATATTTAATCATATGTATTTTATTTTTTTTTTTTTTATATTGCTCTTGTTTGAAAATGCATTTTAATAATATTTCATTTCAAGCGTATACGCATGTATTTATACAATTCTAAAAATAGCGCATGGGAAAACACTTTGCAGCAGACGCGCTCACACGAGCAGAGAGAGAGAGAGACCAGCAAYCGAGAGAGAGCGGCAGCGCGACAGAGCGAAGGAGTGGAAGCGCAACAGCGAAATAGACAAAGACAGAGGCTCGTTCTGGGCTGCGTGTCTGTGTCATGCCATGCACTTGAACTCCGCATTCACATGAATGTTCCATTGGCAGTCGCAGTCGCTGGCGCAGTCTCTGTCGCTGTCGCAGTCGCCGTCGCAGTCGCCTGTCCATGTGCGTGTTCCCGTGCCTCTGCCCGTGGCCCGATCCTGTTACTATGTAGTCCAGTCGGCTCGGCCGCTTGCCATCTTTTTTCTGCTCTGCTCTCTTCTTCCTCTTCCTCGTTTATATATACACATATGTACGTACATACTTGCATATGTGCATACATATTATCACATGCCTGTCGTGCCGTAATGCATGTTTTTGTCTTAATTCTTTTTTCTTCATTTCGTTCATTTTGTTGTTTGTATTATTGTTGCTGTTTTATTTGAGCGTCAAGATGTTTCAAAGTGCACTTCAAGTGCGCTACAATTTTTGTCTATTTTTAGGTACTTGGGAATACGACAGATAACGCGCCGCCAGGCAAATGACGACTCCTCATAGCATTCACAGCCCATGGCAGCAGCGTAAATCATAATCATACATAGAGCTGCCATTGAGAGAGGGTAAATTAAAGAATGCCTAATGAGCGCATAGAACTAATGCTGATTGAAGCATTAGCTACAATTCGCAGCTTTTAGAGCTCTACACAGTGGAGCTAGAGTGAAGAAGAATGAAGTGTGAGAGGTGGAGATTTTTATGTTAACAGTTTTTATATGGAAAATAATAAAGGTTTTTTTTAGAAAAATGTAAATTAAAAGTGAAATGACTTTGAAATATTATAGAGCAATGCATCTGATTGTTACAGAAGCATATATAATGACTAATCAATACTAATAACAATACTAATAAAAGGTAAGCTGTAGATTGAAAAATTACCTTTCTAAAGAGGTATATATTAAAGTAGTATATTTAACACAACTAATAAAAATTATGCCTAAGCCAAAAAAAAACAAGTAAGAAAGCTCTAGTCGAGACTACTCGACTACGAGATCCCCTGAACCCTTGGAGTAATAGCTATTTCAATAATTTTTCGCGACTTTCAGCTTACACAAGAAACACGCACACACACACACACACACACACACACACACACACACACACACACACACACACACACACATACACAAACAATTACATACATATACACACACAAGCATATACACGCATGGGCGGCAGTGAGCGCTTACTATGAGAACTTAATTGCTTAATAACTTTTTTTGTGGACGTACGATCTTCATGAAACTTTTAGATTATGATTATAACATG